CGAGGCCGAGCGCGCCCGGGGGGCGACCGAGCCCCGCTTGGCACTCGCCCATGTGCGGCGAGCGCCTGGGCGCTGTTTGGTTTCCTTTGCCTTGCCCGGCTTCGGGGCTCCAAAACCAGCCCCTGGGAGATCCAGGAGGACAAAACGGAGCGGGGTTCCGAGGTGCCGTGAATGCTGCTCCCCCGTTAGGGCACCGGGCAGTAACAGGTTTGCACTGCGCCGCGTTACTGCCGTGAGCTGCGCTGCTGCCTCCTTGCAAGCTTTTATTTATAAGCGAGGGTGGCTTTTAGTTATTTTTTTCCCAGAGAGGAGTAACATCCTTTATATATTTTGTGGCTGACCTTCGAGGTGTTCTGCTAGGTTGTTGTATCCGTGAGATTTTAGTAACAGAAATACTGAGATTGGCCAAGCCACTGAACAAAAGCAGATCTTCGGTCAGATATAACATTAAAGCACGCACCTCAGAACTGTACGGGCTAACCCAGGGTTTCGAGAGATTTTATGTTAATAATATTTACTCTTTTGTTTATAAATCTTGAGTACCCCAGGTTTAACTCTGCGCTGAGCAATAGTTCTGGTTGAGCTTCCAGCTTTCTGTTTCAGATTCGCTAAAAGGAAACATGTGGATCATGAGACCAGTGATAAAGCTAAAACCATGTATTGTCAAGGTTTGTTAGTAGTTAATAAAAACCTTGATCAGGAAAAAAATAGAATGCTCAGAGCTGCGTCGTCCTGCTGATTTTTTTTTTTTAACTGGATCTAAAGGAGTTACGTGATATAACATTGTGTTTGTAAACTAAGGCCCCGATGCTGTTACTAAAAATTCTATTTTTTTTTAGTAGAAAAGGTAACAGGCAAAGATGCTGTGGCTGGGCTCAGTGCTCTGAAGAAAGGCTCTATTTTAGTAAGATCTTTAGAGCTAAAAGTTCTCTTTGGTTGTGAGCTCCACGGTAAAAGTTAACAAAACAAAAAGCAAGTATCGCGTATTCCCCCTCGCAAAGGAAAAGCTTCAGAGAACAAGCCTGTCTGATGATGCAGCCCTGAATACTTAAAAACTTGCGACAGAGTTAGGTACGGTGTTGCTAAGAGCGATCCTAGTAATTATTCCCATTCTGCGTGTGAATATACACTATGGAACGTGCACACGGATGCGCAAACAGCAGCTCCGTGTGATGTCGACTGTAGCCTGCTCTCTAACCACACAAATGCCTGAGAAACTTCCAGGAATTTGAGGACTTTTAAACTTAATGTTTTGGCAGCGCAGGCTCCAGGGGGTGCAGGATCCCGGTGCCACGGACGCTGCAGCTACTGCTGCAAACTGCTGCTCTGCCCTTGCACCCCTGTGTCCCAGGGGTTTGCACCCATCCGGGTGCGATCCTGCCCTTCTTCCCCAAATCCCGGGAATTTTGACATTGGTTTCCTAGCATGTGCAAGCCCTGGAAGGCCAGGTGCCATTAGTATCAAGTGTTTGTGAAACTACTGCGTAACACGGACGGCTTCTTCCCACACTCAAGTAGGTGGTGGTGCTTCGTTAGTGATACTTGTCGATGCACCGGAGAACCATTTATTTGGCCTCTTTTTAATGTTTTTAATAGTGCACAACACAGTAGCCTTTAATAAAACTCACTTCCATTTTTTCTTAGGAAATCACCCGTTGGTAGCTCTCTCGAGCATTTGATTCTGACACATAATTTACACCATTTTTATCCCAGCAATTTTCTCCTCTCTGCCTAATTCCCCTTCTTCTCTCCTTTCTAATATAGTCTCCAAACTGGGTGACCAAATATTGAGTGTGCTGTGAGTCAGAGCACGGGAGTGGGGTCGCAGATGGACTTGTCTTGACAAGTATCTCTGAGTCAGGGATCTTTCCCTGCTTTCGTCTTGCTTTTTGGAGGGATAAAAAAAGTGCCGCTCAATTGCGCCGGCAGCAAATTACTGTTTGTCCCACACTGATTTTGCTTACGGTGCCAAAGCGCAGCATTAGAGGTGCAATAGATATGCAATAGAAAACATTGCAATAGAAAACATTGCATGTTGTGGTGGTGGTGGTGGTGTTTCTGACGTTCTTGTTCTTGCTTGGATTGGGCTAGAGCATGGCTGTGAAATGCAATTGCTTTTTCAGGGATTCTTTCAAAAGCTGTGTTGTTAGCTAATTTGTGGATTGAATAAGGCATTAGCTGCTCTGCAAAATATACAATATTTGCTAAAGCTTCACGAGGCAGCTCACAGCAGCAAACAACTGAAAAACAAGGGCACTGTGGAAGACTTATTTTCCACCCTCAATAAGCATATGCCACTGCCACCCTACTGTTACCTGCAGCAATTACTTAAAAATTACTTAAAAATAAGCTCTGGAATGGTTTCCTATAATTATCTAAGTGACTGAGGGCAGAGCTAGCAGTAATGAGTAAAAATGTTTTAGTAGACAGTAGCTTATCTGATAGCGATAGGATCAAACAAATATGAGAAGCCGGTTGCCTTCTTTTCCATGGGAGAGTTGAAAATCTGCCAGCGTTATTGATGGTAAATTGTCAAGCAACAGGACTATTGTTCTCCAAGCTTCTTCTGTCTTTTAGGAGCAGAAGTCCTACCACCTCCATCCAACCTAAACTATTCATTCATCCAAATCTGCACCCTGAACTGGACGTGGAGAGCCCCGGAGAATGTCAGCAGCAGCTGCGACCTCGTGTACTCCAGCGACATCTTCATCAACGAGGTCTCTCAGAACCAAAAAGTAGGTTCCTCGGCTCTCGGAGCTCCTCTGTACTCGTCCATACGCCAATTAATGCATAATTGTGGTAAAACTGGGTATGTTTGCTTATACATGCGTACACATATAAGTACAGCCTGTAGTTCTTGTTGTGGGATCCAAACCTCAAAAAATGAGTCATGACAGCATGCGGAATATTCAGATCAGAAAAATTTGTCTGTGGCTGTGTGATAAGACAACTGTTACTGATAACTCGCAAGTACCATAATTGTAATAGTGTGTAAAGACTTGCTTCATTATTTATTTTCACAACTTTCTATTAAAAACGTGTAGCTAGGGCAGTCTCCACCCTCATGATACAACGGTGAATTTGCAACGCCGTCTTCCTGCGCTTTGAACTCGGGCCAAGGAGGAGGCAGGCACGTTCATCTCGGTGTGCACTGTGGTGGCACTGCGTAGTGTCTCCTGGAGACGATGCCAAGCATTAAAGCATTCCTACATCTGCACTGTCCCAGCACAGGGACTGGCAATTATTTATGGGGCCTGTGTTATGAACCGGACAGATCTGTACCCTCAAAACAACTGCAATATCTGTTAGTTGTGGGCTTTTCCTTCCATTCCCTAGGTTGCATCACTGATGTGATTCATGGCTTGATAGTCGTTTCACCATGATGGAGTGTATTTTTTCAGTGTATTCCCAATCAGACAATACTCTCTCAACCCCTAATTTCTAACTGCCGGAATGCTAAACGTGGAACATAACTTGGCTGCAGGGCTGGCAGCCCTGCTATTTCAGATACAGTTAAATTGACCTTATGTTTTCACGAGGGTGCCTCGTGAAATAGTCCTTTGTCCTTGAGTGCTATTCTAGTTTTATGGCCTGACGTGCGTGGTGGCCTCCTTGCTAGCGCTGCCGTGTTCTCTCTGATCGCTCCAGGATATCCTGGACTTGAAATAAGACGGCAGTTTCTCAAGCAGCTTAGCTGATCTAGTGCCTTAACGCCGCAAACGTCAAGTTTCATTTTTGACATCCCCTTATCTACGGATGGGCTGGGTATTCACAGACCTTTCTGGGAGCCGGTTGAACTTGCTAACTCAGCTGAAACCTGTTTACCTCTCCTGGTAGATTAATTTTCTGCTCGGCTAACAGTCCAATGAGTTTGTGGAAGGGCCTGGCAAATGTCAAGTGAGCTCGTGGAAGGATCTAACAAATGTCAGGGGCAATAAAAGAGCTGTTAGGTGGTTTCATGAGACAGGGTGAACCAGCCTCTATCACCTCATTGATCTGATTGCATTACAGCTGATAGGGTCTACTCTGTTAATGGCTGTCTGATTTCCTTTCTCATGCATTAATGTGATCTACTTGTCTGCAGTTAAGTAGGAGATATCTCCCTGGCCAAATATAAGATGCTTAAGAAAGCGTATGAGAAAGGGGTCTTTTCCCCACTCAAACACTTACGAGCCTCATTTCCAAAACTGGGTGCTCGTGAGCTTCTTGGGCCTGCTGCAGTGTCATTCCACCTAACAGCCATCTGTGGAGTTCTCTTTTGGTAAAGTTTTCCTTTGCTTCATGTACATTCTTCTTATTGTATCTCAGTTAGGTCTTTAGGTCTTCCCCTGTTGGTCACATACACAAGTGCAAATACACAGAAAGATTAAGGTAAAATTGCGCTTGGAAAACTGTAGTGTGCTTATTCTGCATTACCCTTGAAAACTTACTCTGAGTTTCCTCCATTGAGTCCTCTGCATGTCTTCAGAAGGTCATTTCGTTGGGCTTGAGCTGCATTTTTTTTGTTGGATTCTAATGGTACTCTTATATTAGTAGCAATTTCCTTGTGCATGACACACTGAATGCTCTGATTTTTGGTTTTCCTCCCGTTTAAACCTAGGAATGGAGTAGGAGTCTGTTCCGTGTGACCGATATGCTCATGACTGAGGAGATGGGTTTCAAAGTGAGAAGTGAGTGCAAGCACAGCAACGGCAGCGAGCCAAGCAGATGGGTAGAGACCTTGGTCCGGCCACGAGGTAACATTCCAGACAGCAAGACTAAAAGCCAGACGTGCCAATCCTTGACATAGTCTTATCTTCTGAGCACTTTTAACAAAATATTGCATAAATACATCAGAGCGAGGTATCTCAGGGCAGAGCCAAGGAATTTATCATGTAGGAAAGGAAAGAGCAGGATGGCCATGGTAGCCCTGGGCAACACACAGGCCCATCCAAGGCTGCAGCTGAGATGATGACGCAGGGAAGAGCAGCTGAGACTCTTTTGGGGGGTTTAGGAACCTCTGCAGTTGGGAGAGTCTGAGTAGGGCAATTCTGCTGTGTGTAAACCAAGAGGGAGCCCTTTGGCACTTCAAGTCCTATGGGCATTTAAGAGGTATTATTAGGTATTAAATACCTTACTTAATATCTCATGTAAGGTAGTAAAATACTTGTTTTTGTTTTTTTAATCTAGAAATAGGAGGTACATAGAGGAAAAAGAAGACTTTGAACAAGAATTTATGCTTTTTCCTCACAAAAATGTAATTATAATGTGTATTGCCACAGCATATTTTGGATGCCAAGAGCATACATGAGCTCTAAAAACTGATTAGGTAGATTGAGGCAAGAAAAGCGCCAAAAGCAAGAGCTATTACATGCAGTCCTTTATATAACCTGCAGCTGAGGATATCCTTGAACTGCTGCAGACTGGAAGTTTAGAGGTTATAGCAAGGAAATGGGGCTTCTTGCGTTGAATAATAGAAGTCTGTATCTAATCCAGCATCCTGGCTCAGGATGTGTGAAAACGCCTTGCAGACAGGAGAATCTGAGAGCTTCTCAGGTTTGTCTGCGTGTCCTTTGAGAGGGTATTCTGGAAAATTGGGGAAGTGGATCGTCGCGACAACACGTCCTAAACAATTAAAACCCTTGGGGGCTTTAAAAGTATGCTTGCAGAAAAATATTTTGAAGTGCCTCTTGGAACGGGAAAACCAGTTTCATTTTCTTCTACATAGTCACGGCTTCAGTGAGAGCACAAGCTCAGGAGTTAGGAATAAGCTTTGGATTTGCTCTCAATAACAGTCTGGGCTGTTGATTAAAATGATCGCTCATTTTTAGTTTTTGGAGATGTTGCTACATGTTGAAAGAAAAATATTTGATAAGTTGTAATATGTTAATACATTAGGAAAATGTATTTTCCTGGTCATGCAATAATGCAAGATTGAACTGCCAATTACGTTAGCTTCTTTTTAGTTGTCTATTTTTTAAAGAACCAAAGCAACTTCCTTCCTTAACCCTTCAAATTCAATATCAGATAATCCTAAGGAGTAGTGCACAAAGTCATGCCTTGAGAACTAGCTTGAGCTAGAAGTTTTTCAGGTAACTAGAGGTAGAAATTTTTACATCAAATGGATGTTTCCCTTCTGAAAAGGGGGAAGAAGACTTTGCCAGCAATATAAATCTCAGAGGCCTTTCCAACTTGCCTCGCAGGTATTCCAGGTACTGCTGCTATGAACTTGGACTGCATCTGGCACAATTTGGAGTACATGGAGTGCAAGTGGCTCGCCGGGAAAAATGCACGCAGCGATACCAACTATACTTTGTTCTACTGGTTGGTATTAACTTCTCATTCTGAATCTTAAACTCCTTTAACTCTTTTCTTTAGCTTTACATTTCTTACTTGGTGTGCTCTGTTTGTCCCTTTCCTGTTGTTTTGGAGTATCCGAGAGCACTGTGCATGAGTTCTGGTGCTGGGTCCTGTCCAGCAGAAATCTGCTGAAGGTTCAAGAGGTTGCCGAGTCTTTTCGGGAAGCTGAATATTTACACAAAGTAATAGCTATTTCTGCAGCCCATTTAAAAATAACTGCTGCTACTTATCTTTTTAATTGTGGATTCAGCAGGGAAGAGTCAGAACTGTGCCAGGCAAACATATTTTGTCTTTTCTTTGCTGCCTGACAAACTTGTGTTGCAATTTATGTCACAGCTGCTCACTACTGCATATGTCAGTTCTTAAATCACTGGAAAGCAGTATGGGAGCATTAATAACACTTACCAGTAGTTTTGCTTGTGTCTTCTATGTTGTAAATAATGGATTCACCTTGAAAGTTACAGAGAACATCTTTTTATCATCATCTCTCCTTGCCAATTAACTGCCATAAATAGTCTCTTGTCCTAGGGGAACGGAGTGGTGATTTGAGGAAAAATTAGCACCAAGATCTGTGCGCCCTGATCTATGCCTGCTTCTGTGTGTTAATTTTTTGTGTGAAATGCCAGGTTGTAGTAGCTTCTGCAGAAATGTTGAAATTTTATTTCTGAAATCTCTAAATTAGTTTTTTGTCTTATCTGACCTGACTAAATGAACTTCTTCCTTTTTCACTGCAGTGGTAGTTCCACAGCCTAGCTGTTCTTTTAAACACGTTTTGACAGCAAATAGCAGAAAACTGGCTGCGTATATATGTACACAGTGCTTTAGGCTTGAGCTGTATGTGAAAACACTTGGAAGTCAAACTTGATTCCTTCAGGTTCAGTCCTATATTTCCCATAACAAAAAAAAAGGCACTTTTAAGTTTTGAACATGAAAGCTGAGGTGAAAGACTTGATTTGAGGGTTGAAAGATGCATTTTCTGTAATGCAAGGTTTTTTTTCAGAAGTTACTGGATAACAAACTTGGAAAAATAGCACTTTATTCTGTGTTCTTCTTCCTTGGTATTTTCCTGCAAAAGGTATGTTTTTATTGGAAGTAAATACGAGCAAAACATCTGCTTATAACAAAGAAATCCAGTCCCTGCACAGCAATAATGGCTGAAATGGAGCTGATGTATCCAGTGCTGTGTGCTCCGAGTGCCTCGTCTTCCTCAGCCCCAAAGGAGGGATAAAAAGGGGTCTGGGACTGCAAATAAGAGCGACCCCATCTGAAGCTCAGATTATTCTTTTTGGTGGTACAGAGAGATCAGTTCCCCTGGTTTTCTGGGGAGGAGAAGCCCCAGGGATATTTTCCCTGTTGGGACCAAGGAAGAAGGCAGTCAGAGCCTCTCCGTTCCTCAAAGGGAGTGCTGACATTTTGGGGAGAAAATGAGTGCAGTAGGTGAAACTTAGCTTTCTTGAGCAAGAGCTGGGATACATTGCTGAAAGTGGTAAATTAACTGTTCCCTCACAGAAGTGAAATTGCCTTGTTGGGAAGACGGGAAGAGATCCAAATTGATTTGATTCCCCCTTTTTTTTTTTTTCCTCGAAATTGTTTTCCCCTGGGAAAATCTGGAGCAAAGCTGGAACTTGCTTTCAGTTTTAGTTCTTGAAAACTCTTTGACCTATCTATTTTCTACTACTGGAAACTATCAAAATAACATTCCTTTTGCAACTTGAAATAAATAACAGGAGACTTTGTTTAACTTTATTTTTACATATGTTATAGCACAACTTTTATGCAGGACCACTTTTTAGAATTTGTAAAATAGTTTTAAAGACAAGTTTTCTCCTATCAAGCCTATTTTTCTGAAGCTGAAAAAATATATTTTTATTCTTACAGGTATGAAGGCTTGGGAAATCCTGAAAAGTGCAGCAATTCTTCTATACATGAAGGAATCTTTAAATGCATTTTCAATTTTACCTTTCCCAAGGTCACCAATACTTATCCAACTATCAGTATTTTGATTAAAGATGCTTCAGAGGAAATCAGGCCTTTGTGTGCAAATAAAAATCCTACTACCCTTGGTAAGTTTAATACCACAAAGCAACTGAAGCTTCCTGGTATGTCAATGGGTTTGAGAAATGTGCAGCTTGTAAGCTGTGGGTCAGACAACACGATGAGATGCTCTCTTCTTGTACTCATTTCTGATTTAAGAATTAGCCAAATAGGATCTGTTTTGTTTTTCAAAGTATTGAATCCAAATACTCTCTCTTTACTTTTTGGTGCTTGTTTTTTTCCTCTTTCTGTTCCTGCACTCTAGGGTGTGTGTAACGTCTTTCAATACAAGACTTCTTTTCTAACCAGTTATACAGTTTAAAACTATTTTTTTCTATTTTGCCTTTCAGTAAAACCTGCTACGCCCAAAGCAGTTGCACTGTCAAAGGTTAATGATGACATTCGTCTAGAATGGAGCCAGCCAGACACCTTCCCAGCAAGTTGTCTGTATTACGAGGTGAAATACCACAATGGCGATAAGGACACTGCTCACACAATTAAAGTAACTTTTCCTTGTTTACAGTTACCTGTTTTGTCCTATGTCTCTTTTGTAATTTACAGAAATGATCACAGTAACTCAAACATTCTTTTTAATGCATGATTATATATGCTGCACGGGAATGGGAATGTTACCCTAGCTGAAAGTGCTGCATGGACTCACTAGATTTTTCTCCCATGCAATAACTTTCTGGTAGTAATAGCTATGCAAGGCCTTGTCTTCTGAATCTTTGCCATCACTTACTATGGCAAAGCATTAATATATAAGAAGAGTCCAATTAAAAGAGGCACAGACTGAAGCAAGTAGCATTTCCCAGGAGATGGACTGTGTTGCAAATACCTGTTTGCTTCTCACTGGTATGGAAGGGCTTTGCTCTGTTGGCGTTGTGTTTTCCTATGGTCGGGCTGCTCTCCGTTACATGACTTATTTGGTCTTGGATGTTGTGACTGGATTGCCATAAAGCAAGATTAGTTGCTGGTGTGCACAGGATATTATCCAGAAAATCAAGAGGATTAAAAAAAAATGATGGAGGGTAAGGGGAAAAAACTGTGCTTACGTCATGTATGTCAAAATATGTATATCTAAAAGGCGTTGACTTAAGTGTCTGGATTTGCTCAGTCATGTATCTGAATAATCAGGCTGTCTGTCTGATCTGAAAAGTAAACAACATGATAAATTCAGAAATAAGGTGCCAGCCTTCTCTCAGGGAGCTTATCTGACTGTTTGTCCTATGCAAACGGCTGCAAACTGGTATTGGACCAACATTCTCCAGGAAACCTGGTTCTTAGATCCGATATAAGTGAAGCACTATTCCAGCTAATCTTTTCCACTCTGTGAGGTATCCCAGAAGACTTTCCTGTGGATAAAGCTCAATCCACATTGCTGCAGTGACTGATAGAGGGGATTTCAGCATAAATCACAGATGTTTAGGAAAAAAAAAATAAAAAGCAAAATGCAGATCCAGACACTGAGTCTTAGTTTAATCACCAGTGCCAAATGTTGTATAATAGGAGTGAGTCAGTTTAAGTGTTAGCCTTGGAATCTTTGTTTTGGCAGCAGTTTTCATCAAGCTGATTGAATGCTATTATGTCCCTTTAATGAAGTTCTGCATTCACAAAAGGATCTTCCATAAAAGCATCCAAAATACATTAGCTGCAAAACAAAAATGGATTTGTAAAGGAGCAAGAGAATACTGGTAATTGAACACAGTAACTTTTTTTTTTTACACAAGGTTGAGGATAATCGTACTTCAATTCCCAGTGTTGATCCTAATACCAAGTACACCTTCAAGGTGAGAGCAAAACCAAAGCCCGAGTGTTACAGCAGCAAGCTCTTCAGCGACTGGAGTGAGGACAAGAGTATTGGTAAGAACAGTTCTGCTTCGAGTCTGTTGACATTCAGTGTTCCTCTGTTAGTCCTCTCTGTTTTTCACTTTCTTAGCAACTTTATCTGCATTACAGTGTGTTTTGAAAAATAAGTTCCTGCCTACAAAAGCATCGTAGTCCAAAAATATTCAAACTGGGAGTTAGAGAACTAGTTTGAGTTAGAGAACTGTCCTTGTTCCTATAAAGCTTTCAGAAACTTTCCTAAATTTCTACATTTTTTTGTCTTGCAGGTGCAAAGTCAGACTCCACATTCTATTTCATTTTAATTATCACCATTCCATTAATAATAGCAGTATCTACGATAATTCTACTTTTTTACCTAAAAAAGTAAGTAATCATATACCTTTATTTTCAGTACACTATTTCTGATTAGTCTTTGATTTGCATTATAATTCATTTTTGTTTCCAGATAGCTGCCCATGATATGACATTGTTTCAGCAGTAGGTGTTTTCTCCCTAATATATATTGCATTAAAAAAAAAACAAAGGCAACACTGTGTGCTTCAGTAGTTAGAATTTCAGTAGTTAGGTTGATAAACCAGATGTATGTTCTGGTTGCACTTTGCTGAAATCGTGTGTATCTGCTTGCATCTGCTTACAGTTAGTGTCTTGTTGCATAGTCATTGCATCCCCTCTCTTAAGCAATGAAGCCCAAAATAAAAATAGAGAAACTCATTCTGAAGTTCCTTGTACCATTAAAAAAAAATCTACTCTTGCTGCTGCCCTTGTCACCATTGGAACCTATTCAATATTTGGCTCCACGTAAACATTCCCATTTCCTTTTGTTTGGGCGAGTGAAAGTGAAAACGGGTCACAGTTGTGCCGAGGATGAAAGCTGGCCCGCGATATCAGCTCGGATCACAGATTTTTCACAACCACACCCAAATCTTGCCTTGAAATGGTGATTTTTAGATTACTGCCCCTTTCACTTAAAACTTGGCTTTTCATTTTTCCAAAGGCTGAAGATATTAATCCTTCCGCCAGTTCCTGACCCTCGAGAAATCCTTAAGCGCATGTTTGGGGAGCAGAATGAGGATTCCCAGGTTAGTACCTGGCTCTTTGGCCAGCTCTTCTGTTGGAATTGGAACCCATAGGCTTCATTTTCTTTTCTCCAGCTCTTTTTGTTATTTGTCTTTATATTTGTAAGTATATATATTGTATGTGGAGAAATATCTACAGTGCCAGGAGTTGTACAGAAATAATTACTTAACAGTGATACAGATCTTCTTATCAAGTTGAATCACTTTTTTTTCAGATACATTAATAGAATTTAATTAGATACAATAATAGAATTTAATTATTCTGTTATTTTTGCAGACTTGTAATCCCTTAAATGTTTTTTTTTGCTGCTCCATTAAACTTTTTTTTATGAACATGAAAAAAAGTTTTATGTTTGCTGGTTGCTCCTGTTTATGCCATTGGATAAAACTATTTTCAGAAACATGTAATTATCACAATTGCTGAGCTAGGACATAACTCAGGATATTTAGCTTCTTGTTGGCAAAAGAACAGAACTAAGGGTAGCTGCTTCAAACTTTGGTTATTGAAAGACTCACTATATGCTCTCATTTCTGGAAAAATAAACATACTGGCTATAGCAACTCTTCTGCAGTTTTTGTATCTGGGTATCTAAACAGAAATAACTCAGTAGCTCTTTATAAAAACAGCTACAAACCCTAACTCAGACCTGGAAATGAGGCATTGCACAGTGTTATCTGAAGACCATCCTTGCATGGAAGGGACCTTTTGATTCATAGTGATATCTCCAAACTGATGCTGTCTGTGAAGCCTTTACAGAGGGTAACAACGCTCTGGGTTTCTGGCACCACATGTTTCTTGGCCATTCTCAGCTGGATTGATGATTTTCCAAGTCTCCTCTCATGGCTTCCCAACTGCAAATAGTCCAAAGCTCAGCAGGGCCTCTTGCCATGGGCACATAGCGAGTTTCCCTAATAATAACCTGGAGCCATGAGGATGGCATGGCTACTTTATGCTTTCTGGATAAATATTTCAACATACAGTGAACTTTACAGGACTAAGATGGGGCCTGCGGCCATCAAGATCATAACAACTGTAGCTGTTTGTCTTGCTTTGAATTCTCTACCTGCTCTAATAACATTACTGTGATACCTTCTGTCTTCTAAGAGTTGCATTGAACTTCCCATCCATGCTCAGGGGCTCGGTGAGGACTATACTAAGGGGCACATTCTGACTCCTCCAGCCTGATCTTCAGGTACCAGCTGTATTTGGGAGGGCACTGCTAGACCTAGGCCAACTTTCAAGTCTTCCTCACTTCCAAAGAGCACAACTCTTTTGTTAACCAGGCCTAATGTCCCTGAGAAACGTATTTTTTTGTGTGCAACTACCTTTGCTTTTCACTGTAGTACACCAAATATGTTGTGAAACTGTTATGTCTTACTTTTATTGGCCTGCCATGCTCACCATGAAGAAACTCTGCTAAATACATTGTTGTTTTCTTTCAGGGTGGCGTAAAGGAGGATCCTGTGAATGCTTACAACAGGTTAATTAAGGAAGAAGAAATTCATTCTTTAGTTCTAACAGAAACTCTAGGGACCTCTTCTTCTGAAAACGAAAACCGATAAACTGTCTTTACAAAGGAATGATGAGGAAAGACTTTTCTTCATGCTCCCTTACCTCAGGTGACAATGTAGATGTGGACCGGCCTCTAAGACATTCACCAACGTTCAACTGAGTCCTTTGTGAACCTTCTTGTGGGTATGATACTCAGAAGAAACATCACCAACACTGGCCATTCCTCCATCTCTGCTGGAAACGCTCATCCTGGATCTTTCAAGATGAGCCTGTACATAAACTTAATCTGTTTGCACTCATGTTTGTGCCTCTGGTTAGACTGTAAATAGGCTTTTTGTGGAGCAAGCACTGCAACTTTGCTGACGTCCTCGGTTGTGCTTTGCAGCAGGTGAGATGAGGCTCGTTGGCAGCCCGTGGCTCGTTCCTGCTGCCGAGTGGATGTGCTGCGGGACGCCGGAGCCGGTGGATCATTGGTGATCAGCCCATAGTTGGGTAGGGGGCTTTCCAGAGCCCATTTATGGGCCAGTCTTTGGAAGGTTTTGGTTGATGTGCTTCAGCTGTGGGCTCATCAAACCCAATAAAAGAGAGTTCTGTTTTGTTTTTAGATGTATGGGAAAAGCCTCTTCACCTTCCAGGAGTGTTCAGTCTACTCATAGAACAGTTTTATGTTTTTATTATTTTTTTATCCTTTCAGGTCCCTGTCCTCAGGCTGTTTAGCTTGCCTCCATGAACTACTTAGTCTTATTTTGTTTTAAATGATAAATAGAGTTCTTCACCTGTGTTGTCCTGTGGCTGGTGACTCTGCATTGAGTCGCATCCAGCTATGATTCTCCTTTGGCCACGCTGGCCTGAAAGTGCCTGATTTTGGAGGGTAAATCAGCCTGAGACTGTTTCACAAAATTCCCAGATAATGGATGTGTGAGCTTAAGGACCCGTGGTCAATGCTGAGCACATTTAAACTGCAGAAACTGAATTCAAGGACTTTTAAGACCCATCCTCTCTGCAGAGCTGATGGACTTGGTGGAAGGGGGGATGACAACCCTGGCTGACAGTCTGGGGGATAAGCTTTGTTCTTTCTCTAATGAAAAACTTCCTCTCTTGGATCTCAGCAATTTAAAAGTAAGGTGCTCATTTGACTTTTCAGAATTTTCTCCAGCATTTGCATTTGCTACAGCAGCTTGATTTCTTCTTTTTTTTTCCTTGCAAATCACAAATTGGTTTGTTCCTTTTTTCTTTTTTTTTTCCGTGGTTTCGTTTTGAGGTGCTTTACCCATCAGAATTCAGTGTATGGTATCTGGCACAACTGTGAATTTTCTGTGCTCGAAATTGCGAGCGTTGGGCTGTACCTTGTGCTGCAGCGGTGGTAGCAGCAGCACCCTGATTGTGCTCTGAGAAAAGGAGGCAGATTGTAATGGGGAGAAGAGGATTTGTGCAAACTGGCTGTGTTTAGCAGTCAAGGAATTGCTTGCTCCTGGCAGTTTTCTGAGCAAGTAAGTATATGCAATTTGGGGCAGAAAATCTTGGAAGTCTGGGAACAGACCCTCTCCAAAGATTGCCAGAGACAACTTCTATTGCCACTGATTTAGCCTTTAAATTCAAATTGGATTCAATCAAAAATTGGAAGGGAAGAACTACTTTTTTGGATTATCCCATTCTGTGAGAAGTAACGCTAATGGAGCTTTGCCTTGAAACTACACACTTATGTCCTGCATCCCCTCTGTGTTCCTTGCGTTCATAAATCCAGTTGCTTTTCCTTAGACCTCTCAAAAATAATTTCCTCACATGTCTTCACACTAGCTACTGGTGGCAGAATTAGGAGGAGGAATGTGGCAGAACTAGCAGGCCACGTAAGAGCTTATAACTTTTACTTAAAATCAAGCTTAAAGAAAAAATCAAAATTGGTTAACGAAATAACAGCGAAGTCTCAGGGATTTCAATGAGATGTAAAAAACTCAGGTTTTACAAAATCAGCTAGCAGAAATGTTTGATGTTCCAGCGGTAGAGGCACAGTGTGGGACAAAGAATTTAATTCCTTTGCCAACTCAACTCCCTTCCCCCTCTCCCAAGATCCATATTATGACAGATAAAAATATTTTTCAAATCTACCTCATATAGAATGTTGCTAATTATAGATTACTAGACAAGCAGAAACATATATAAGGCAGCATAATGGTGTAATCTGAAGTTTTATGGCCTTTGGTAAAACTGTCAAGGAAGAAGATCCTTGGTACTTTGTCCTGAAGTGTCTTTTACTCTGTTTCGGGGTTGGTAACAAAATCAAAATGTATTTTTTTATAAAAACGAAGCAAATTCATAAAGCAAAGGGAAGAAAAAGATAGATGAATGTGCTAGGCCAAAAGGAAGCCTTAAGTGGGAAGGATGATTTATATCTTGTTAAAAATCACTTGAGTAATTCTGTATTTTCTGACTAATGGTTATTGACACTCCCTAACTCACGTATTTCTTGAGTCTGTTTTGGCGTGTAGAGCAAACATCTCAGTTTATGTTAATCTTTAAATTCTCTTGTTTATGGTGTGTGGTCTTTCTTTTTTTCCGCTTGAAATTTTCTTAGTTTTGCTAGTACTTTTTCTTCACTGCAGTTACTTGATTTGTAAATTTGTTTAAAGAATGAATAAATGTGTTTGAATTTTTTTTGATATAATTTCATGGTGTTTTGGTGTGTTGTGAAGATAAGCTGAGGCAGAAAAAAGGCAGTTGTTCAATAAGAGAAGCACGTTTGAGTCATGCAAAACAGAGAGAAGAAAAGCTAAATATGACCCTGTCCTCTTCCATTTTCAGTGCACTGGGGTCTGCACAGCAGCACGGCGGTAGTTTGGGGAGGTAGTTTGGGGAGGGCTGAGTAATGAAGCTGGGAAGGAGTCGTGGCTCCACATCGCACTGTTTTCTTATGCTGTTGGTGTGTTTTATTTCATAACCCAAGAAAGAATTCAGAAATTCTCCATCTGGAACTTAACAAAGGTTGCTCTGACCTTACCAAAAGTCATTTGAATCTATGATGTTCTGGTTAGCTGTTGAAGTCTTTAGAAATGTCAGGCTGTTTCACTGATGAAAGCCATTACCTAGATGTCCAGATCCAAACGTGTTCAAGTGCCAAATAAACACATTAGCAAGGCCTTCTTCAAAGGGCTCGGAGAAAGAAGCCTTCCTCCCCTTCAGGTCAGTGCCTGGATTGTTCAAAATTAAGGAATAAAGTGGGAAGTTTAAAAATTAAGAATATTTGATTTTTTTTTTCTTTTCCTGTTTTCAGTTTTGTTGGCCGTAATGACCACCTTTAATTTTATTTGCTGCCCTTTTTTTAGTTCAATAAATACCATGTGAAACACAAAAATACTTGTATAGGTTTTCTATATTTGGCACACTTCAAGCAATTAAATGCTCTTGTTTTTGTGAATTTTTATTGATTTCAATCAGGATAGGGCATAACTTTAAGTAAGTCAACGAATGGGCAGACTAGATTTCAAACCATGACATTTTAATGCTTACTAGGTAGAACTGTGATCTTACTGGGAATTTCCATTCAATGTTAAGTCTTCAAAGTCTTCAATAAGTCTCTGAATTCAAACTTTAAGTATTCAGAATTTCCATTGGAAGAGAAATGTTGATTTTTTTTCTTTCCTTCTCTGTTTCTTCAAAAAAGAACTTTCCGTTTGGGAGGGTTTTCCCCTCAGCGCGGTGAACGGAGGAGGTGGGTAGCTGGAAGTGCAGGTAGATGCAGGGCACCGAGGGGACCCCAGGAAGGTGGTGGGACGGTCAGTGCTGGAGGTCTAGCCATGCGCATCATGGAGCTGTTGGCAGGAGAGCTGCCCATGTCACCAGACGTCCATCAAGATCATTTTAAAATACTTTAGTTTTGCTCATAGGGTTCCTGCTGGAAGCGCTGTGTCAATCGGCCCCGATCTATCACCAGCTGCAGGAACGTGGCTTCTAGGTGATAATTACCAGCCAGATGTGAAGCCAGATTAACATCTTTCTACTTGAACGGGTTTCCTCCTGGCTATGTTGAATCACAGTTAAAAGTAGGTGAGTTAAGATCACTATGATGTAAATAAATCTACACTATAACCACAGCAAAGCAGCCTGGGTTTGGGTGGGAAGAACAGGAGAGAGGCAAATTTTGAGGCCCGGAAATCGTGTTTCAGGTTGATAAGGTGTAAGAACCTGAAAGCTTTTTGATGCCTTTTTGTTTTTTGATGTTCTCTTTCCTCCAGCTATGTCTGCTAGGTCAATGGAATTGTTTTTCTTTACTTGTAAGCCCTGCCCGTTTATCCTTAGCATGTCCCTTCTCCAGGAGTGCAGTTATCACAAATTGTGTTCTTCGAGTGAAAGCTGAGCGCTCCTGCCATGGCAGAGCTGTGAAACAGCCGGGGCTTTCTAGTACTAATCTCTGTTCCTTGTTTTCCCTTTGCCAAAGTCTTTGAATTATTTTGATGCCAATTCCACAAAGCATCTATAAAGAGATGCTGTCCAGTTAAGGCATAATTGTATTCTTAGGTTAGTGCACTGAAGTTTTGCTGTATTTAATTTGTCTCAATTTGCTAAAATGGATTTGGATAAGAGTACCAAAAACTTAGCAAGATTGAGGTTGTTAAGGCCTGAACATCAGTATCAAATTTTGGAACTTGAGCTAATTTATTAAGCTAGATGCCAAGGCAGGAGGAGTGACTTGAGCTGGGAGTTAAGCTGATGTCTTGCTTTCATAGTGGAGCTGGTTTTACACCTTTGCAATAAAAACACACCAACCTCATGCTTCAGGCTAGAAACAAATTGGTGTGAATGGGAATCCTTTGTGTTTGACCTGATCAAAGGTCAATTCGATCATGCAATATCAACTGCTGCTGTCTTGGCAATCTCTGTACATTTACAGTGTAATTCGATAGGGTTTGAAATCTCAGAATCCAGGTTTCCTTAAAGGTTTCTTTGCCACTTTTCTTGAATCTGCTTTAATGGGGCAGATGGGAACAAAATCTCTTGACTTTTAACAGTAGCACTGTGAGCACTGAACTACCTTAATTTGCCTGTTTTGCCCCTTAGAGCATTTCACCTTCCTACACTACAAACCTCTGAGACTTTCAAATTTCCTTCCTTCATGCAAAATGTAGGTGTAGAAACTCTGACAGTGCCAGGTACGCGTCTGAACTGGGCATAAATTAC